ATTACTATAAAATTGAACATAATAATAATTTCTAAATTCACAAGTATATTCTTTAATTTTACACATATCACATATTGTTAAATTTATTAGTTTAATTCTAGCATTGTCTTTTTCTCTTATTTATTCTCTTTCAACATTTCTTATCCAATTTTTTCCTAAAAATTCATCTGAAATATATTCTACTAACTTTTATATACCTTGTCTATCTGATTTTATTATTTCTGTTTGTACATTTCTTTTTATTAATATTTTTATATCATTACTTATTCATTCCCACCAATTTCTAACGTCTTCTTCAAAGGTGCTATTAAGAAATCTATTCTTATTTCAGTATTTTTTCATGTGTCGTCTTTATTATATAAAAAGAATAATATTATTGAATATGCCCAAGTTAATAAGGCTTTTTTAGTATCTATTTTGCAATTTAGATATAATTTTGTTTCTCCATTATTAATAGGTTTATCATAATTATCATTTAATTCAAAATTGTCTTTATATTTATTTCCTTTAGGTGGTTGTCTATCTCTTACTTTATCATAAAATTATCTATATGATTTATTATATATAGGTGCATAACGTTCATCTAAATCTTGTAATTCTTGTTTAGAAGTTCCTATTGAATTATACATTCCTCCAGTATTCATTAAAACATGGTATTCACTTATATTACATAAACTTAATTGATCAAAATTTTCTATAAGTAAGTCTAATTCATCATTCATCTTTATTTTCTTTTTTCTTCTACTTTTAATTTTCCTAATATTTTTTCTCTAGATTCTTCTTCTTTTAATATTTTTGGTAATATTTTTTTTCTAAATTCATCATCCATACTTCCTGTTTCTATTATTACACTCTCTTTCTCGATATATATTTTTTCCTATTCGAGTAATTTCTTTTTCTATTAATTTTTTTTATCTATTTTCTTTTCTTTATTTTTATTTATTTTCTTTTAATTCTCTAATTTCAATTTTTAATATATTTATATCGTTTCTTGTTTCTTTTACTTCATTTCTTAAATCTTGTATATCATTTATTAACATTTTTATTAATGATTTTAATTCTTCCATATATTCATTTATTGACGTATTAAAATCATCTTTATAACATATAAGTTAATTTATATCTTTTATCTTCTTTTTTATCTATTATTTTTTCAAATCTTCTGTTAGCTATATCTGGATCTATTAATTCTTCTTTTACTCTACTAAAATATTTACCCTCAAGTCTTAATCTTTCACATTTTAATTTTGTTAATTGTCTATTATTTAATAATCTTATTCCTTCTGGTTTCAACATTATATTTCGTATTTCTTCTTGTGTTTTTTTTTTCATTTTTATAAGTAATTTATTTAATTTTAAATTTGTATTATCACTTACACTCATACTTCTCTTTGTAATATAAATTAATTTCTTCATCTTTATATATATTAATAATTTTTTCATATATATATATATATATATATATATATAATCCTTTATTATTTCTATTATTAATATTTCTAATATTCTTTCTTTTATTTCTCTTGGTAATTCTTTAACTATTGTTAGTGTCATTATTTTTAATTTATTATGAATATGTTTTAAAAATTTATAACTTCTTCTTTCTTCGTCTAAATGCCAATAATTATCTATTTTTCTTACTTTAATTTCTATGATCTCTATGCTTTTATCAAGATGTAAATATAAATATTTGTATATTATAATTAATTATTATTTTAAAGATGTATAATCTAAATATTCCTTTAACTTTCTAATGATTAATCTATTATTTATTAAATTTATATAAAATCTAAGTGTTAACCTAAATATAAAGATTTTTATTTTTTCAGGTAATCTATTTTTTATGGGTTTCCTCATGATCGCTCTAGCTCTGATACCAATTAAGGGGGCTACTTAGAGCGAACAAAAATAATATAAATCAAATAAACAAAAATCATAAAAAAAAACTATCAAAATCCAAGTAATATTTAATTTTAAGGACTAAATTAGAAAATTTCTATATTATAGTGACTTGTTATACAATATCTAAATAAATGGTATTTTAGATATGTAAATTGACCAAAGGTCATTTTGCAAAAATGGCCCTTTCCTATAGGCTATTTTCATGTATTTCCCCTGAATCTCACTATAAATTATAATTCAATGTCGTTATCTTTTTGGTTTCGATTTCAATGCAAAATGACTTATGTGACTAAATTGTCAATTCACAAATCATTATTCTGGATTAGACCTCTAATAAATTCGAATTTATTTTCTTTTTTAATACGTTATATATAATAATAATGCTATTTGCGCTCGGTGCTCGTTTAATCGTTCACTATGACAATCATTCTATGTAGTATATATATGGCTGGTAATTATATGATGCATTAGTTAATAAAAATTACTATATTAATGAATCAAATAACTACATGTCATGTTTATGTCACGTTGGCCAACTGCTATAGTGATGTAATGCGTGACTACGAATAACATTAATTTTTTTTTTAAATATGGATTATTTACCTAGTGTTAGATAATACTCTTAAAAATTGTGGACTAGTCTCTAATAAATGTTCCTGTCCCTAAATTAGGACAAATAATGCTATGTAGCTCTACTCAGATTGCAATCTAGTTTAGGTAACGTTAATGTGGCATTAAATTATAAATGAAATTAGATAAGCATTTAATTTCACCTTTCATTTAATCTATCATCTAGTGTCATCTAAATTGGAATTGCAATCCTGGTGAGGGCTATGGGCCTGTTTGGTTTGGATTAAAATATGATTTTAATCTAAATCAAAATTAAACAATCAATATTAACCACATCTTTTATGGACCCTACAACTTTTTAACTACATATTTCAAAAACTTCCATCATAATCTACTAAAAAACCTAATTTTAATTCTCACCAAACATCCTCTAAATAGCATTACTCAGGGCTAAACTTTATTGGCTGAAAGAGTTTTTTATTTGGTTCAGCTACTGTGAGCTTACGTAAGAGCATGCTTATAAGTAAGTCAAATTTAGGGTCCATTTGAAATGAGTTTTGCTTTTACTTTAGCTTTGTTGCTATAGAAATTTTTTTGAAAGAAGTTACCTTTATGTTTGTTTGAAAACTATTTTTTAAAAGATTATTCTATTTCAAAAGTATTTTTAGAGGAAGTCACATTAGACCAAATTACTCTAAAAGCTCTTCTAATTAAAAAAATCACTTTCATAAAATTAGTCAAACGGATCAAAAACATCTTTTGAATCTCAAAATCTCCTTTTGACTTTTCAAAAGTCATATCAAACGGACACTTATAACTTAATAAGTATTTTTTTTTTTTTTACCTTCCTTTTAAACATGTTTGATTGGACTACCATCTTCTTAATCACAAGTAAAAGAAAATTATTTATTTTGAAGTACTAGACAAGTTACTCGTAAAGGTAACATATATATATATATATTTTTAACCTCGATCAATAAAAATATTATTTATTTTTCCCACTGAATTGTGATGCAAGGAGCAAGGTGATAAATGAGAGTGATATAGCATTACTGATGAACGAATACCCGAGATACATAGGTATGGTGTTGGAAACATGTTACGACAAACTGGTTAAGAGTCTTTAGATAATGGTACGATACTTGATTTCTATAAAGGAGCGGGCTACAATCCTTTATCACCAAGAAAGAATGATGACTTTTCAATCAATTTCAATTTATCAAATTCATAAAATTTAGGCGGAGAAACTTGCCTTCAAGTGCGATAAAAGTTTGTAGAGATTTAGACTTTTATGTATCTGGTCGATTACAAAATTATTTGTTGTTAGCAATTTTGAGATGTTAGATTTTCATTTGGTACTTTTTTTTGGGTGACTTTTAGTTTCAAATGAAATTCTGTCGTATTTTAAGTTCCATGCCTTGTAATCTCTATTTATCGCTGAGTTGGGAACTATAAATATTTTAATTTTTTCATATTTTATTTTGACATGTATATTTATATATTTTTATAAAATTCGAAGTTTTTTTAAAGATAATTTCATTCAAAAAAAAAAAAAATTCCTTTTTTGATTGTATCTAGAGACTTTTAAGGGATATTATCATATCACTTCGACTATGTAAAGACTGATAATTTTCGTACCTCCCTAGAATTTATTTTCCAAATTAAAAAAGGAAGAAGGTATTTTCATTTTATTTTTACAAATACTTCCTTTATTTCCTCAAAATTAGGATTTATGAATTAAATAAAATCATTTACATTAGTTTGCCTCAAAAATTCAGAAATGATCAAGACAAGGTTTGGCAGTTATATAACATTTATGTTTTATTTTCTATTATATTTATATTTCAAAAACAAGGAAAATCCATAAAAACAATGATAAGTCAGAAAATCACTAAATATTATAGGAAATTACAATAAACTATTTTGATAGGTCAGGGCCATAAAGAGTCAAAGACCTACATGAGGTTCTAATAACATCATGACATGCTCAATTCTCTCTTAACCTAGCCATCTAGCCCCTTCAACTATTGTTGTAGCTCACCATATATATTTCATGTAGGCCTGGGCATGGTTCGGATTTGGTTGATTTTAAGTCCAACCTGAAATCGAAATTGATGTGGTCAATTTGGGTAAATTTCAACCCAATACAAATGTTGAAACCAAATCAAAATGGTTTGGATCGATTTGGTTTGGTTAGTTGATTTGGATATTGGTTTGAGTTAAAAAAATTTGTCTACCTATTTTGGGTTAAAAAAAATTGTTTTCCTATGTATAACTCTCCCAATGATCCGAGTGAAATACATACTGACCGTTGGATTTGTTTAATTTAAAGGTTACGATTATTTGTCAAATTCATTTGTAGGAAGAACGCTCCCCTATATATGTGTGTGTGTGGGGTCATTGCTAGGTCATAATTTTAATTAAAATATATTTTTTAAAAGAAAGGAGAACAATTTTTCTAAATGTAAAATATATATGTATTAGTTCACTATTATCACAAAAGTTAAACTGTTGCCATAATGGTCAAGGATGTGACATTTCACTTCAAATGCTATGATTCAAATCTCCGCCTTCGCATATTGAAAAAGAATTTTGCACTTAACTCTGCCATAAACCAGTTCAGCCTTGAACCGGTTTCGATTTCATTTAAACCCGTCCGATTTGACCATGTTATTGAGTGATTTAACCAATCTTTACTCGGTTCACTTGCTAAATGTACCAATTACTAAAAAAGGACTAGATCTCAATCCAATTTGTTGGTTTCCGAGCCAGACCAAGTTATTAATAACTATGGTTTAGAATTAACTGAATTAAACCGCAACCAATTAGTAATTATGCTTAAATCGCAACCAACTTGACCAGACTCTTTACACATCACATGTGGATTGGTGAACTTTCTCATAGTTGGTGCTATTGCACAGCAGCCGTTTTTATGGTAAGAGATTGTGATCCAACTTCTTGATACAATCTATTAAATCGTATCCTTAGATATCATGATGCAATCATATCAATCTCAACTGGGCATGTATCCTTCTAGACTTTCGGTATGCTAATTCCTAATATGCAAATCAACCCTTCTCGTATGGTATTTTCTCAGCGAATAAGTAATTACAAGATTTAAAGTTTGATATAATTTAAAAAGCAAATAGCAAAACCAAGCCAATAAAATATGGAAAGAATGTATTTTCATATTTCTAAGATTAAATAGAAGGATTTGCCAATAATAATGCTAATCCTACAATCAATCCATAAATGGTTAAAGTTTCCATAAAAGTTAGTCTAAGCAATAAAGTATGGGATAACCCAGGCCTCGTGCCCAAACCATTTTATTATAGGTATTGTCCGTTTTGGGAGGGCATCTGACCCTCTTACCTCCTCAAGGCTTTCTCTCACTTTTTTCAGGATTCGAACGCGTGACCCCTCTTTAAGAGAAATTCAAATTGAATCCTGATATCAATTAGACAGTACTATGATATAATGGCTTGGGCACAAGGCTTGAGTCATTACAAAGTAACTCATATTTTTTCTGCCGCCCTGGGATATCTCGCGATACCCTCAACAGCTAACCTACAACAATCACACAATCAACTCCTGATCAAATTAAAGCAAGCCATACGACCAATCCAACATCAATAGCAGGAACGACAACAATTAGTAGATTCATGATAATTTCCTTGTACAAATTAAAGGAACCTTTTGATTGAATGATATTATTCCTATTTCCTACGTTTTTCTTCTAGTTCCTATGGAATATGAGCTTACATAAATGAAGGGAAATTAAAATTAAGCCCATGTTTTAGTTGGCATTAAAATCTAGTTTTTTATCAAGTCAAAGTCAACAATTAAATTTAATTACATAGTTAGAGTCTGCTTTAGCCCCATTTGATTGTAAGAATGTATTTTGGAATAATAAATTGAATATATGGTTAAAAAATAAGAAATTTTTTTGAATTCGCATGTAATATTATTTTATTGAATAATGTGATTGAAAAGAAGAGATGAAAAAATGTATTTTAAAATAATGAGAATCAAACAAAGGATTAATAGAATCCACGACCTTTCGACCATATATTTCATAAATTTTTATCAAAATTTGTTAAAAATCTTATTCTAATCCCTATCAAACGGGGTGCTAAAATTAAAAAATAAATAAATATTAATTTGCTTCATTGTCATTATGTTTGAAAGATCAAGAAAATGTTATAAAGATAACCAAAATTTTACATGTTCTAAAAAGTAAAAACTAAAATTTTTATGACAATAGTTTTTTCCCCCCTTTTCCTTTCATTAATTATGGTGTATTACTTGATGGCAAAAATAATTTTGTCCCGCTTAGTGCGGATAGTCGGGGCCCAAGTACTATGTAGAAAATGACATGAACAAAATATCAATTTTGAAGAGTTTAGCCAATTGTAGGTCTTGGAAAATTTCGTAGATAATATTCCTAATTTGCATCATAGTCCTTCACCCACTAGACACCACGGGGGTGTTTGAACCACATTATTTTGGTAATAATGCATTCTTGAATAGTGTATTGATGAGAAATGTGTGGTTAAAAAAATTTTTTTATCCGCGTGTAATATTATTTTATTGAAAAATGTGTGGATGAAATGATGTCAAATCACTGTTTAAGAATATATTTTTTTGGAATAATGTGGCTCAAACAAGCATATTTTTATGGGAAAATTGTAGCATTAGTCTTAAATCTATACGCTTGGTAGCAAATGCATCTCAGTTCTTTCTTTCTTTCTTTTTTTTTTTTTTTTTTTTTTTTTTTTTTTTTTTTTTTCTCCCCTTTTTTTTTTTTTTTTTTTTTTGTTTTGGTATTTTACATCCCGATGTATAATTATGTTGTACCGTCGTCCAACTTGTTGATAACTTGTTTGTGGAAGTCTTGCATCATGATCTCGTACTCCTTGGGTGAGATTCTATGAGTTTGTAGGCGTTGTCGTACAAATTCAATCCCGATGGATTAATTCATATAGTGTTTAAGAAGTTGGAGCTTAGATAGGAGGAGAACCTATAATGAATGAACTTCAAGACTAGTAGATTTGGGGAAGGGATTGCTAGAATGAGGGTACAATCAAACGAAATTATGACAAAGTACATATAAGGTAGATGAAGCAACAAGAGTGTTGGATCATCTAGGCACCGAATCTATCTTGACCTCTTTTATTCCTTCATTTGAGATATTTATTTTTCCTTTTTCTTATGACGAAACTGGGTGAGTTTTTGGCTTGGACGATCCGACCCTATGCTTGCTTCGTCTGCCTAATCCGACTTAGTGATTATTTTAGTTTGGATGTACTCTCATTCCAGCCATCTCTTTTGTATAAACACCAATCCAAAAAAATCTCATATTTCAATTTGTTCCATTATGATTTAGATCATTGTAATAGTACCAAAAAAAAAAAAAAAAACCTGCTTTGAAGACCACCACAACACTACTCTATACCCAAATATATGAAATAAAACTCGAATTGCATTAAACAAGAGGAATCAGATAGTATTGTGTGCAATTTATGACATTTTTGGCCATAAAAAAATAACAAAAAAGTTTCATTTGCATATGACTGACTTTTTGATGGATTCTGTAAGTTGAGGATGACAGCGCAACATAAATGATAGTTGGATACTAAAGTTGTATATTTTCCTAGTTTTATCCAAAATAGTGGTTAGCACTCCCATCCGACCAACGTAAGAAGTTTACTTTTACGAAAAACAAAAAAGTTGATGATGAAATATGCACTGTAGCACACTCAACGCTGCCATCACTTCGCTGCCGTCCAGATAACATCAACCAAACAAAAAACATTCTTAATTTTTCACGAACCCAGTTGATGATTTTAGTCCCGCAAACCAATCATTGTTTAGTGACTCAGTTCCAGAATGGAAATCAGTTCTACTGAGAATTCTTACGCCACCACTAACTGGTTGTTCGACTATGAGTTGATGGATGATATCTCTGCCGTCTCCGAAGCAGCAGGCTTCCCCAGTCTTCCTCTGCAGCCGCTTGCCACCGCCACCACTGCTTTTGGCTTCTCCCTGGCCCACAAAGCATTCATCTGTAGCTCTAATGTAAGGTGTGTCAATTCTTGAACCCATTTTTTCATTATATTGTGACATTGGTTGTTCCGTCTTCCTTCAGCAGTTCTTGCTTGATTTATTCAACCTTGTAAAAAGAATTTAACCCTTTTCAATTAGGTTTCTAACTTTCCTTGTATGATCACGAAAATCTTTTGCAGAAATTTTGATTTGTTCAATGTCTCCAAGCTATATTTTTGCGTTTAATACTGGTTATTGAATAAATGAAACTTCGACGAATAACTAATTGATTTCCTTTCTTTCAGTTATTCTTTTCCCTTTCCAGGTCTATTAATAACCAAATGGATTTTGCCAATGTATAAAATAAAATTTAGTCAAAAAATTAATACTCAAATTCTTTGAAGGGTGCGAACAATGGCAATGGAAGAATAAAAAAATAAAGAATTTGGACGGATGTAATGGAATGCTTCTTAAAATATAAATTATGTTTGAATTTATTAGAATTTGCATTATATATTTTTGGGGATTAATCAATATGCAATTATCCTGTCTTTGGGGCTCGAATATGTGATTTGTGGCATGGCAAATTAGTACTTGCCTGTGTATGTGTTGGTGATTCATTGTCGAAAGGATATGATAGAAATCTTTTACTTTTAATTTGAAGGCGTGCTTAAGAATTTTTTTCTTGAGAAATTAGACGCAGTCAGTCATTCATGATTTTAAAATAGACTGGATTCATGGAAAGGGCCATTTTGATAAAAAGTTATTGCTATTTGTAAGACCGGAAAAAATGTTTTCCGAATAAGAGGACTAGTGGTTGATGCCCCACCTCCCCGGGGTGGTCAATTTGGATAGTCAACTTGGCTAGTTTATTCATAAACGCTTGCTGGAATAGGATTGATGTTTATTTATTCTAAGCTGTGACAACATATGATGCTCTGTTCTCCAAGCTGATTTATTATGTAACTGCTGGATTGAAAATGAAGAACAAGAACTGTATGAGAGATAATTAGGTTTATGAATTTGAGGAAGCCAACATTACTCGATAAAATAACTTGAAAATTGTACAAAGCTGGGGCAGGTAACCTCATGGATAGAGATGGAGAAGATTTGAATAAGTGTTTGGTTTCTTACAGCATACTGAAGTGCTTTTCTTGATTCTTCGGGCACAAATTTGTAGGGGTGAACAAGATTTGGTTTGGGAGATTTTTGAACTATTTCAAAGCAAATTATTTAAACAGTAATATTTCAAATCATTTCATGGTCCAAACCAACAATTTTTTGCTATCTCATTTAGCAACATAAATATAAAATCTTTTAAACAAATGGAGAGGAAAAAGAAAAAAAGAAAAAAAAGAAGAAATAGATTCGTATAAATTTCACTATAACACTTGAATTGAAATCATCCAAACATAAACACTATAATAATAATAAACATGTCTATACGAGCTTAAACCAATAAATCAATACAAGTTTAACCATAATATCTTGCAATTCATTCTTGAGAAAAGAAAGGTTTTATCATAAATAATCATTATTTTCGTGAAGAGCTAATAGAGGCCAACTAGCAAGTAAATTTATTAAAAGTGTAAATAGTTCTAATAAATAATATAAATTGGTTAAAAAAAAAAAAAACCAGCGAACTGTTCGGTTTGGTTTGAAGTGATTTTTAAGCATTGAAACCTAAATCGAACCATTTCCAAATGGTTTGTTCAGTTTGAAACAGTTGACCTAAACAACGTAAAGCCAAACCAATGGGTTTAAAACTGCTATTTCGATTCGGTTTGGCGGATTGGCAGTTTGTTTTTTGTTCGCCCTTCTGCAAAGGATGAAATGCTGTGTGGATAACATCAAAGTTAATTTCTTGTTTTCACACACCAGTTAATATACTAATAGAAAGCCTGATTTTTATTATTATACTTAGGGATGAATTACGATGTTAAAATACATTGCGAAATGTGGAAGTTCTGGCTAAGTGATGGAAATTTCCTATGAATGACAAATTTCGTCTAGCTTTTTACATACGTATAGTCGAGAGGCAAACAAAATGAAGAAAGGAGTATTGTTACTCTCTTTATTTTCTTTTCTTGGTGGGTGGGAGTGCAGATATGGGAATAAACATAATCATCCTTTCATCAATACAATAAGTGAGAGGACCCACCCCCCGGGGCATAGCCTAGTGGTGCAAAGGGCAGGAGTGAGTTTATCTCACGCATTGTTGGCAGTCGCAGTTTGAGGGTTCGATTCCTGAGACATGGAATTGCACTCCTTGTAAGCGCAGTGTACTGACAACTCTTGTTCCCTGACCTACTGGGACATATCCCGCGATTTACCTTTTCCCAAAGCTCTAGGGGCGGGACGGTGGGACTCTCAAGGTTGGGGTTCAACCTTTTTTTAATAAGTGAGAGGACCCAGAATAGTAAGGAAGTACAACTACATCTGTCACTTTTTTCTTCACATCTGATGACTTAGCTTTCTATTTTTAGTTCGGAATTGGACTGCTCTTTTGAGGATTCTGAAGGCTTTAAGGAAGCAGGTCCTCGTAAACGGTACGAAACTTCCCCTTTTTTCTTTGATGTCAATATCTAGGCATTTTGTAAACCATAGATTCTTTTGTCATGGATTCTTTTCGGCCCACTTAAATATCTGCCCTGTTGCCTTGATTTTCCCATGTTACATCTTTCCTGAGTCTTCTTTCTAAGTATGTGTTCATCATTGTAGGTATGCCTGTACACCAATGGGAGATAATATAGTTGCTGGATAGTTCAGTTACCATACCTAAACTAGTCAATACGATAGCCATCTCGTGTAAATGAAGCATACTGATGATATGCTGTGCCATAAAAATACCTCTATATTTTGCAAACTCCCAGCAAGAATCCATGAATAGATACCAATACGAGCATGACACTGTTGAACTTTGCATAAATGTCAAAGCACGAAGATTCATTATTTTACAGCTTGAGATTAGAGAGCCGTATCACTCAAATCACTCGATATTAATAAAACGGAGGATAAGTTGAGGTCATCATGTGTAATAAGATAAGGATTGAACCTGAGATCTTAAGGATATGATATTGATAATGTGTTTAGTATCTTCTACAAATTTTCCATCCTCGAGGGTCATCTTTTTGGTCTCAGTCTTTATAGCAAGCACACACACAAAAATTTCTAGCATTCTGGGTAAAGATTTTCAATTGTATTCTACAGCTTAAAGCCAGAGTCATGCAATACATCTGGATCTAAAGCATGTCGAGAGAAGTTTCGCAGAGACCGACTAAATGAGAGGTATTATTTTTCTTTCCTCAAGTTGCTCATAGAGTGTCATTTGAGTTTCATAGTTCACTTCCAATTTGGTGAAGGTTCCTGGAACTGAGGTCTATCCTTGAGCCAGGCAAGCCACCAAAAACAGACAAATGTGCTATTTTATGCGATGCCATTCAAATGGTAACTCAGCTTCGTCTTGAAGCTCAGCAGCTGAAGGAGTCAAACAAGGATTTGTTGGAAAAAATCAAAGAGTTGAAGGTGAGAGTTTGATCCTATCAGTGTGTAAATGTATAACATAATTGAGATCAAGTTTTAGTTTTGATTCTCCATTGTAATCAACTTCATAGGATAAATCTTTTATGACTCCACTGACTAGTCTATTTTTTTATGCTTAATCTCTCTTTCAAGGGCTTTATCTTTCTCAAGGAATCGGAAATATTTCTCTTGTTCCACGAATGCAATTTTCATTTTATCCAGGAAAAGCCATCTTTTTTCTTAATAATTTCATTGTAGTTTGATCCAATATCTTGTCTTATGTAGGAAAATATTCTATAAATACTGATAATTATTCAACGAATAAATTTCTGTCACTGTTCTCTCTTCAGGTTGAGAAGAATGAGCTACGTGATGAGAAACTGAGACTTAAGGCCAGTAAGGAGAAGCTTGAACTGCAAATTAAAGCTTCGGCTGCACAACCCGCGTTGTTAGCCCATCACTCTGCAATGGGAGTTGCATTTGCAAAGGAAGCAGGGAACAAGTTAGTGCCCTTCTTTGGTTATCCTGGTGTTGCCATGTGGCAGTTCATGCAACCTGCTGTGGTTGACACGTCCCAGGATCACGTGCTTCGCCCTCCTGTTGCATAAGCCGGAGAAGCCAATTGTGGCATGGCTCGGGAAAATGTTGATGTACAGCAGCTGTATAATTGTGTGTATCTCTTTTGAAAGGATGTGATGTGAATAAGAAACTGGTATCTGCTCTTTCGCTTACTGTTTGAACTAAGCCAGGTGTATTCGGTTCCTGCAGTAGAATTTGCCCTTCTTGTTTGAATGTCAAGAAATAATAAACCCTTTTGTAATAAAAGACAGCATTTTTCTTCATAAGTTCAACTTGTTCAATGAAAATCCTCTGTTTGCGAAACATTTTTAGTAGCTTAAAAGTTACTTTTTCGACACAGTCAAGTCAAAATTTAATTTCAATAATACATTCAAAAAGTGCTTTTTTAAGGATACAGGATAGCCTCCGACCAGGTCCGGGGCATTTTTCTAGATGACTCGGAACTCTTAGTCAAGCTCATGGCAAGATCTATTCGTCTGACCTATCATTAACTTAGGTAACAAGAATGAATCAAATGCTAATGTTGTTTAGAATATCGTTATTACAACTAATAAATGAAAAATCAGCAAAGGAATTGATACGAGAATAATTTCGATCGAGGTGGACAAATGATAACAACAAATCTCAAAGGTTGATGAGCATCAGCATGATATAAAAACCAAGCCCGATTAAGGAACCAGCAATGACATTAACCATGGTGGCTGACGAGTGAGGAGGTGCAGGCAAAGAAATGCCTAGAGGAGTAGACGATGTGAAACTGCTGGTAGGAGACGATGAAGTGGATATTTGGTGAGGGAATTGAAGATTTGATGGGTGCAGATGAAACCGGTGGCTTGACAGGAGAACTGGTTGGTGGAGCTGATGGAGTTGCTGGAGCTGCAAACAATGTCAGTTTGTAGCTTCATGCCTTGTTCACAATGTCAAGCAGTTCCACAAATGAAGTACCTCTTGCTCGGCATGAATCGAAATCAGGCTTTGACACTTCACGAACATCATGGTTTAATATTGTTGAGAATTAGAAATCCTAATTCTATATCTCCAAGAGCCATAAAATCGCAATAAGAAAATAGACACTCAAGAACACGCAATATTTATAAAAGTTCACCTCAATATGAAACTATCCCTTGCTTACCTCTGAACTTCATTGTTTATAACAAAAGGAAGTTTGCTTGAGGGAGAAATATGGGCAAAGGGAGTGAATATTGATGGGGGGAATACCTAATGTTGCATTATCAAGTGGGAGAATAAAGAATTGACAAGAGTTTCAAGGCAAACATGTATATATCAAGTTTTTTCTATTTCTCGAAATACCTATGTTGGTAATAGTTAATATTTTGCAAGCCTGAGATTTTTCTCCAGATACTCTATCGTTCAAACAAGAATGAGAACATATTGCTAATTGGAGGTATAATGGCTCTCATACCAAAACAAACAATAAAGATATTGCAGAACCAGCTCAAAATTCGCATTGACGTAATATACCTATAAATATACAGATAAGTCTAATATATTTAGAGTTGATATAGCTCTCATGCATAAAAAATAAGAAACATTTCAAAGACAATCACAATAACGGAGTTACATTTTTGAAGTTTCAAGATCTTCTAACATAGGAAAGAAACTATTTGACAACGAATAATTGAAGAAGAAAAGAAAAGAGAAGAAGAATTTAGGGCAAGAGAAGATTAATTTTTTTCATATTTAATAGTACCTATTACAATGAATAAATCCTCTTCATATGAAGCAAAGAAGCTAAATCAAAATAATAGAACTCATATATAATCTAAACAAGCATAATTTGAATTGAACTCTATTTTAAAATCCTATCTCTATCTCCATCATCATCATTGCCAGATTTATGGTGGAAGATCCTACCCTATATCCTGTAATTGATTTATAGTCCAGGATATGATTCTTTATGAAGGATAGATCCAAAAAAGTGAACGATGTTAAGAAAGTAGCAGCACAGAATATTGGCTTCTAGGATGTGGTTTTAGAACAGTGTACACACCATCTCAAAATTTTCAGCTTGTAGAGGAGGATATAATGGAACAAAAAAACAATTGTCCTTAGGCATTTGGAGCAAAAAGAGATTCGTAGTATTATAATTCAAAGTGGATGAATTCCACTCCTCATATATAATTATTAAACATATGTTAATCTCCTCCAATTATGTACTTATTTCGCTTATTAAATATTATATATTTGTTGGTGGAATATCTTCAACCAACGCCACAGAAGTCTTCGAATAACACAAGAAAGAAATAGGAGGAGGAGGAGGGAGACTGTACTTTCTTCAAATATTGGTATAAGGCAGCTATCATTGTAAGCTGAGATGGCTTATACTGTTCTTCTTTCTCTTTCACAAATTCTGGAGCGAACCCTGCATCATGATTATTCGTGTCTGATTTTTGATGAAAGACAGCAAATCATGTCTCTCCTTCAAAGGGTTTGTTCTTTGCAAGATTTTCTCGAAAATTCTTCACAGAAAAGCAATGAAGTGATTGAATGCTTGGAGAGTCGCATCATAAATGCAGTATATGAAGTAGAAGATGTCGTTGAATTCCACATGAGGGATCGAGTTCTTTCAAGATCTGAAAGTCTTGGTGATGGGGATGAAAGTTTTGAAACCTTCGGCGTATATTTAGAGGAAGCAGTAAAAGAATTCGATTCTATAGAGAAAGAGACAAGGGAGATGGGCATAAAAGATCAGCAGCCGTTGACTTCATTGCTCTGTGCTGATTCACCAAAACAACCTGTTTTCAGTGGCACGAGCTTTGTAGTGGGCCTTGATGATGACTTTGGTGAAGATCAAGGATCGACTAACAAGAGGTTCTTTCAATCTTGAAACCATTTCCATTCTTGGAATGGGAGGAATTGGTAAGACTACTCTTGTTAGAAAAATTTATTATGATGATTTGATTGGGTATCATTTTTATTTACGGGCTTGGGTGACAGTATCTCAAGAATATAACATGTGAGAAATCCTTCTAGACCTTCTAGATTCCATGAATAAACTACCTGACAAGATGCATAAAAAAAGCAATGATCAATTAGAAGACCTTTTGCACAAGAGTCTAAAGGGTATGAAATATCTCATTGTACTCGATGATGTGTGGGATACCAAGGTCTGGAATGATGTGAAACGGATGTTTCCAAATGAGAACAATGGAAGTCGAATCATTCTGACTACTAGGCTAGAAAATGTTGCTGATTATGCTAACTCTTGGCCTCCTCTTCATCGCATGCATTTTCTAAATGATAATGAGAGCTGGAATTTATTTTGTGACAAGGTGTTTGGTAAAAGTCATTGCCCTTATGAATTGGAGGAAATTGGGAAGAAAATGGTCCAAAATTGTCGAGGTCTTCCACTCACAGTTGTTGTGATTGGAGGGCTTCTCTCGAAGGCTAATAGAACACAATATTACTGGACAAATGTTGCAGAAAATTTAAGTTCCGTTGTAAATTCAAACGATGAACAGTGTTTGAAGATTCTATCTCTAAGTTATGACCATTTGCCTTGTCATCTGAAAGACTGTTTCCTCTATATGGGAATTTTCCCAGAAGATTTTGATATTCATGTCTCCAAACTTGTCAAGTTATGGGTAGCAGCAGGACTTCTAAAACCAGTAAGATCTAAATGCTTGGAAGACCTGGCAAAAGAGTATTTGTTAGATCTTGTTGACAGAAGTCTTGTTCTGGCGGACAAGCATAGCTCCTATGGTGAAATTAAAACATGCAAGATTCATGATCTCTTACAGGACCTGTGCTTGTGATGCAGGAGGATCCGAGTCGAGTGATGCTGATTTGTCAGATAGCACGATGATGGCGCTGAGATACCATGAGATGGCGGATCGGCGCAAAGATGGAAAGTGAATTACCATTATTTCCTTAATTGGGGGAATTTGACGCGTCTTTGGTAATTTGACCATAACTTTGGCTACGATTATCGGAATTGCTATTATAGCTCGGTGGACGTCAATTTCGAGCCCAAAATCCACTGTTTTCCTTTCCAAAATTCAATTTTAAGTTATTTTTTACTATTTATGGTAATATTTCGTTTCCTTTTTTCCATATGTTAGAAAACTCGAATTGAGCCAAATTTTTGGCAACTTACTTCTTTTACTTAATATTTTATTTTGGTATAATTTTGGAATTTTGTCATTTTTGGTAATTTTCCCATAATTTCGTATTTCGCAGCTATTTAACCCGGCTTGTGGGTTAGTTTTGAGGATATTGCATTATTAATAATATTGAGTTGAATTCAGAGTATTTTCTCTGATTTTTTTGGGCGTTTTCTGTCGTTTTTTTCTTGCGAATCATTTGTTACAACAAGCCAATAGGATAATCACTATCCTACCCGACGTCAGCTTGAGAGAAGCTGAAAGAACCAACTTCTTTCATTTCATAGATGAGAATCACGATGGTATTCCACTAGACATTAGTGTGTGCTGCCTAAGTACTAATAGAAAGACAGAGTACCATTATTCTGTAAGCTTACAAATCTTCTCGTCTTTCGGTCTTGGATATCTTTTGAACGTTATCTTCCAATAAATGCTGTAAATTTTTGGTTGCGCAGAATCTTGCATGGAGACAAATTAAATTCAGTAACGGTGCCAGTTAGTATAACAAAACTAGTTAACTTGCGGTACCTCGTAGGCAACTGTCTTAAAAATCAGCTTCTTGACTCAATACACAAACTACGGCATCTACAAACCTTAATTCTTCATTCAAGTATAGACTCCTCATTTGATTTACCACCAGAAATTTGGGAGATGACAACTTTAAGGCATATCCAGTTGACGGGTGTGAATTTACCTAATCCTACTTGTTCTGCAATTATTTTAGAAAACCTACAAACACTCTCCGATGTGAGAGATTTCAAATGTACATATTAGCAACATAACACAGCCTGGCATATCTAACTACAACAACCGTGGGAGTCTATGGAGAGATAAGGATGCACGAAATTCTTGGAGAAATAAGGGGGAAGACTCCCACAATTTAGCCTCAATCAGTGGAGAGAAATTGAGTGATCTTGGGGATCTACCGATAACAAATTCAAACCAAAATGGTAATCCACTCGAGCTAGCATGATGATTCAACTAAGGAAGGATTCTCTGTTATCAAGCAAGCTGTCCAACTCAACAAATGGAGAGATGTTCGGCTATCACACTAAAAACCAACCAGATTTCATGGGATTTATTATTATCTCTTGAATCCTCCTGTCAATGTAATTATGTTTAAATATCTCTTATGTATAGCCTAAGTCTTCAAGTTGAAATAATACAGAAACTTCCAGTATTTCTGGAGAACAAAACCTCTCTTGAATCATTTTTTCTTTATGGTATCAGAGCAATTGTGAACACTAGGAAACATAACACAGCTCCTACAAATTTTTTCTGCTCATCGACTCCAGATATGACTACCTTATCCCTCAATGTCGGCAATTTCATCGCTCTCCAACTTACCCCAAACAATTATCCCTTATGGCGTGAACAAGCTTTGGCCCTTGAAGAAAGCCAAGAATTGGTCGGACATCTCACAAATGAAGATCCCGCTCCCAGCAAATTCATAACTCCAAACCGAAACCAACCAGAAAATGCAAAAAATTTCACTCTACAGTTAACAGATGCTTACATCGCATGGAGAAAGTCTGATCGCTTCCTTCGAGGGTGGATCATTGGAACACTCTCTGAGGAACGTCTTGGACTCGTCGTTGGCCTCGACACAGCTTATGCAGTTTGAGAGGCCCTAAAAAATACATATGCCCAACAATCACAAGAATACGAGTTTACATTACGACAACAAGTGACCTACCTTCGAAAAGAAGACCACACAACAATTGCCGAACACATTAGCAAATTTAAAGGCCTATGTGATAATTTAGCAACCATTGGCAAGCCCGTTCCAGACCAAGAAAAAGTTTTTTGCCTCCTTACCAGCCTAGGTCCTCAATATGAAACCTTTACAACAACTATGTTGAAGCCCCCCAGGCCGACATACTCTGAATTGGTCTCTCAACTCCAAAATTTCGACCAAAGGCGAACTTGGTTCTCCAGTCACATAGACGTCCCAACAGCTTCCCTCACTCATCAAATGGCTTTTTTTGGACAGCAACAGCAACGCCCACAATCAAACTCTTCAGGCTATGTGGACCCTCACAAAAATTCAGTTCCAATGGACGTGGTTTTCAGGCACAATAGCAAAGGGACACAAACCATGGCTACAACAACAACCCCCCTTCAACAAATCCACAATGGTGTCCTCCACCGCCTGGTGAGCGCAGAATGACACCTGCGAAAATGGACAGATACCGTGAGGAACAGTGCCAATATTGTGGGATGATGGGACATATTTCTAAGATATGTTGGTGGGTGCCAAAGAAACCCACTCAACAACATGAAATTCCACAGGCACTCGCAGCTCTTACCTTGGACAATACCATTGCATATACAGAATGGACAACGAACACCGGAGCTTCCAACCATATGACAGGTAAGCCAGGTATGTTAACAAACATTCGTAAATACTCTGGTGCTAATTCTGTGCTAATTGGAGATGGGTCTTCCATGCCCATTCTTGCAATTGGTGACTCTTGTATAAAACAGAAAAACACCGCCTTACCTCTCAATGATTTTTTTGGTTCCAAACTTAACAAAAAACTTATTTTCTGTAAGCCAGATAACGACTCAATTCCCCGTTAATTGTGAATTCTCTAATATTGATTTCTGTGTTAAGGAACAGGAAACTGGGCAAGCAATAATGACAGGAAACGCAAGGGTGATCTCTATGTTCTACCCCCTTCTCCAGAATTGTACTTTTCTCATCGGTTCAGATCAGGATCTACAGAAGTTTGGCATCAACGTCTAGACCATCCTCAATCTTCAGTTTTACGTATGCTTTAAAATACAGGACTCATTGATGTCGTAAGGACAACTAAAACTCAAAATCTATGTGATAGTTGTCAACTGGGAAAGCTTAGTCGTTTACCTTTTTCTCATTCAGAACACTCTAGTACTAGTATTTTTGAAAAAGTTCATTGTGATTTGTGGGCACCTACTCCCGTTTTATCTATTGGAAAATTTAGATGTTATGCTTGTTTGGTTGACGATTTTTCCAAATATACGTGGATTATTCCCCTACGCAATAAATCTGATTTTTTTGATGCATATCTTGCTTTTGAGAAATATGTTGGTAGACAATTCAATAAGCAAATCAAAATATTTCATTCAGACGGAGGAGGTGAGTTCATCAATTCCAAACTATCAACTCACTTCCTTTCTATAGGTATTGTTCATCAGGTATCCTCTCCATATACCCCTGAGCAATCAGGTATGGTTGAAAGACGCCATAGGATCATAAGAGAATTAGCGATGACTATGTTATTTCATTGTGGCGCACCTTTATTTTTATGGATAGAAGCTTTCACCACAGCTGTATATCTTATGAATCACTTACCATTGTCTGCTCTAAGTTTTCAAACACCTTACTTTGCACTTCATGGAACACACCTGGTATATTCCTCACTCCATGTTTTCGGCTCTAAGTGTTTTCCCTACACTTGGGATACACGAAAAAATAAATTTGATCCGAAAACACTATTGTGCATTTTGTATGATACAGTGAAAAACACAAGGCTTATAAATGCTTTCATCCATCAAGCAAAAAAATGTTTATCTCTCGTCATGTTGTATTTGATGAGTTAATTTTTCCATATAAACTGACTAACACGTCTTGCATAATAATAAATCAGCTGCATGTAATGAGCATTTTCAATTCTTGGTTGCCACATGCTAACACCTCTTCTTCTGCAGGGAATACTATGGACGACTCCTTACTTCCTTCCTTTAGTCCACCACTGCCAATTGCTACACGTACCCCAGAACTGCATCTCCAAACCTCTAGTCCACCATTGCCCATTTCCACACCTTCAGTCCCATTGAGTCATCACATGAACTCCCTAGCGTTGAGTCGCACAACATTGATCCACCCGAAATGGTTCCACCACAAGAATCTCACGTCGACATCATAGCTCCACCAATAATCAGTGAACCAACCGAATCTTCTCACCATAGGTGTTTTCCCTCAACACCATTAGTTCACCCGATGGTCACTCGATCTAAATTGGGGGTGGTAAAACCGAATCCTAAGTATGCCTTAAACACAAGCACAGCCTCTAATATACCTCGTGAGCCTCACAATGTCAAAATTGCCTTAGCACATCCTGGCTGGAAAGCAGCCATGGAAGAGGAACTAGATGCACTGCATAAAAATGACACTTGGACACTTGTTCCACCACGCCAAAAATGCATGTCATTGGATCTAAATAATCCAAACTCAAACCCGATGGGTCTTTAGATCGTCTCAAAGCACGTTTAGTTGCAAAAGGGTATCACCAAATTGATGGATTGGACTACACTAAAACCTTTTCTCCAGTTATCAAGCCAAGGACAATACGCATGATAATCTCCATAGCTCTTGTTCAGAAATGGTCCATTTGCCAACTGGATGTGAAAAATGCCTTTCTGTGTGGTTTAATTTCTGAAGATCTTTACATGTAACAGCCACTAGGAATGGCAGAGCCCCAACATCCGAGACACGTTTGCAAACTACAAAGGGCACTTTATGGCCTAAAACAGGCACCACGAGCTTGGTTTGACTGATTTAGTGCATTTATTCTAAAATATGGTTTCTTTTGTAGTCTAGCTAACCCCTCATTGTTTTGTTTTTCATTCAGATTATGGCTCATTAATTTTACTTCTCTATGTAGATGATATGTTACTCACCGGATCAAATCCAACACTTGTTTCAGATTTTATTCAGTTACTAGGCTGTGAGTTCGCAATGAAAGATTTGGGGCCTATTCATCACTTCCTAGGGATGGAATCACACCAACAACAAGTGGTCTTCATCTATCTCAGTCACACTATGCTCTAACCATTCTCGAACGATCCGATACGGTTGATTGTAAGCCAATGAGTACGCCTCTTGAAGCTAAAACAAAAACATCTTCCAATGATACTCCTTTGGAAGATCCAACTTACTATCGAGGACTTGTTGGAGCTCTATAGTACCTTACACTCACTCGCCCTGATCTTTCATATAGTGTTAATTATGTCTCTCAATTCATGCATGCTCCCACAATGATACATTTAAAAATGGTTCGACGTATTTTATGATATGTCAAAGGGACAATAGAAATGGGACTACATTTTTCCTCACACTCTACACTTGATCTACTTGCTTTCTCCGATGGAAATTGGGCAGGGTGTACTACATCGAGGCATTCCACCACTGGCTATTGCACATTTCTTGGACAAAATCTTATCTCTTGGTGTGTAAAAAAGCAACATACAATTTCCCAATCAAGCACAGAAGCATAATATCGCGCAATGGCAAACACTGCGGCTGAACTCACATGGATGTCCTTCATTCTCAAAGACCTTCACATTACAATACCATCTACTCCAACACTTTATTGTGACAACCTTAGCGCTCTTCATATGACAATAAATCCTGTATTCCATGCCCGAAGCAAGCATATTGAGTTGGATTATCATTTTGTGCTCGAATGCGTTGCCAGTGGACTCCTTGTCACTCAACATATTTCCTCTGATGATCAAGTTGTTGACCTCTTCACAAAGCCAATGTCAAAAGCAGCCCTTCATTATTTTCGGACCAAACTTTGCCTCCAACCCCGGCAAAGTTTGCGAAGGGTATTAGCAACATAACACAGCCTGGCATATCTAACTACAACAACCGTGGGAGTCTATGGAGAGATAAGGATGCACGAAATTCTTGGAGAAATAAGGGGAAAGACTCCCACAATTTAGCCTCAATCAGTGGAGAGAAATTGAGTGATTTTGGGGATCTACCGGTAACAAATTCAAACCAAAATGGCAATCCACTCGAGCCAGCATGATGATTCGACTAAGGAAGGATTTTCTGTTATCAAGCAAGCTGTCCAACTCAACAAATGGAGAGATGTTCGGCTATCAGACTAAAAACCAACCAGGTTTCATGGGATTTATTATTATCTTTTGAATCCTTCCGTCAATGTAATTATGTTTAAATATCTCTTATGTATAGCCTAAGTGTTCACGTTGAAATAATACAGAAACTTCCAGTATTTCTGGAGAACAAAACCTCTCTTGAATCATTTTTTCTTTAGTACAGAGGAGGTTCTTGAAAGGATTCCGAATCTTAGGAAATTGGGAATCTGTTATGAGAATGCACCAACAGATTGAGGATACTACTGTCTCAATAATCTTGTTCATCTGTAGAAACTTGAATTGTTAAGATGCCAGTCTAATGTGTGGTCACCATCATTCCTACAAAACCTCACTTTCCCGCCATCACTCAAAAAGACTACTATAACCAGCTGCTTTCTTCCTTGGAAAGATACGACGACCGTTGTTTCTTTACCAAATCTTGAAGTGCTCAAATTGAAACGTGGCACCTTCCTAGGCCCAGTGTGTGAACCAATTGAAGGAGAATTTGTTAAAATGAAATTTTTGCTAATGCAAGTGTTGGAAAATAAGGGGTTGGAGAAGAAACAACAACAAAATTATAGAAACAAAATGAATAGAAATCACGAAATACGTCAAGAACGAATTTGAGGTTTGAACACGGGATCGTTGTTTTCAAACTATATTTGCCCCCTCTCGGGATTGAATGAGATGCTTAAGAGTTTTGGCAAACGTTTTGTAGAATTATATCAAGCCTTGTAAATGATTTAACACCAA